AAACCAACTATTTCTTGTTCCATATGCAGACTGCAATCAAACTAGGCAAGTAGGTATGGTTGTTGTTTTGACTTACTAGAAAAATGCTCACTCTTTCAGAGTAGTAAGACCTCTTTTTTTTTTTTTTCAAATGATTGCTTGAAAAACTTTTGAATTGCATATGAATAGGATTTTGTTGATCTCTTTCTGGTTTTAGACTTTGATTAGTTTCAAGTTGAATGCTGAGAATATCTTTGTTTTGAGAGTTTGGGTTTGTCTAGCTTATCTCTCCCTGCCATTTATTTTCTATTTCACTGATGATATGAATTCTTACTGCCTTTATTTCTTTCAGGATGAGGTATCTGGTGAGCAAGTATCTTCACAAGAGCTATTGCAAAGACATATCAAGCGTGCTAAAAAGGTTCGGGCACGGTAAGTTTAACATTTTACTGTTAGTTGCATTGGTTGTCAAATGAACTTTGAATAGTGTGAATGATACATATATATGGATACGGAGGTTTTCAAATGAAACAAAGTTGAGGAAAGTGTTCTTGGAGATTTTGTTGAATATAGTTCACATGTTCCAAGTATGTTCTGAGTTGGGCAAAGTGAGGCTTTCATTTAACCAGAAATTTCTCGACTCTGGTGCATGAAATATGTGCTTAATTTCTTTACTAAACCTAGGGAATTTTACCACATCCAATGCATGAAATAACAATATGCTGATGTAATGATTGGACATGAGTTTCTGATGGCCTTGTTCTCACAGGAAAGCCTCTAGCATTTGTTTCAAGGAACAATGTGGGGTCTAAAGTTTATGTGAATCTTTCAGCAGGCATACTATTAATCCTTTAGAATTGCCTTGTGAATGAAATTACCCTAGAAATCAAGTAGGCTGTTCCTCATTTAGCAAATCTCAAAACAAAACATAAAACTTGAAAGAAATGCTAATTTTGTCACCTCTATATAAGTAAAACTATTGCTAAACCCCCAAAATACCTCCTTATTAGTGCAAAATGTGACATTAGGGTATGAAGTTAATGTTGTTCAAAGTCGGAAAGCTCAATTTTGGTTAAACTAATGTCCCAACATGGAAGAGGTTAATAATACTAAGGATCATCGTGTTTTAGAATATAGAACACCACAAGTGTGTGGAGAATGAAATTTCACATTGAAAACATGTATCACATTCCAAGGACAGCTTCTAACCAATTAAAAATATAAAATCAAAGTAAAAATCTGTCATTTTTTTTGGAAGGTTTCCAACTTCAAACCAAACACCCCCCCGCGCCCCCCGGCGGGGAAAAAAGAAAAAGAAAATAATAGAGGTAAGAAGAACTTTGCTGCAAGTTTGGCAGCATATATCTTGGATAAAGAGCTGGATCCAGTTGCTGCAACTCCAAGAGCGGAATCCATATTTTCTCTGTTGTTGATTTCCATTGCCAGTTGGCAAGAACCATTTTCACAACTCATTTGTAGTGTTTGACTCCCTTAATATGAGGGACAGTGTGGAGTGCCGTATAAATTTTTTCCGTCTCTCTGTTCTTGTAATATTTATGTTGGTGTGTTTTATGCTTTACTGAAGTGGATTGAATACCCTCAATTTAGTGCATCCATCCAATATTTGATTTGTTTCCCTTTTTTTTTTATGCAGTTTAAGAGAAGAAAGGCTACAGAGAATTGCAAGGTACAAAACTCGGCTTGCTCTTCTCATCCCCCCAATTGTAGAGCAGCAGTTAAGCAATGATACAAGTGCTGGAAACTGAAATGCCTGAATGATCTTTGAGATGACGATGGATATTGGGCTCCTTCATCCGCATTGTGCCAAAGGATAATAGATACTTGATGAGTTTTCTCAAGATGAGATCGAAAGATGAAGCTCTCAAATGTGTGGCACGATATTGTTGTAAAGTCCGTGTATTTGAACGTGTGCAGGTAAAATCAGTGTATCACCGATTGGGTTTTTATAACTGATTTAACTTAAAAAATTTGAGTTAGTTCAGTGTTCTTGCGATTATGTTGTTTTAGTGTTATCAGCCTTTCAATAGAGTATAGTGATTTTTTTTGACTTCATGGTTGGAGATTGGAGGACTTGAACAAATGAATCACCTTCTTTGTTTTGTCATCAGCCTTGTGTTGGCTTAATCTTCTTTGGATCACAGTCATCCTGGACCATTTGGTCTCTATATATGATTTTCAAATAGATTTTTATGTTAATCTGGACCATTAATCTTCAAGCTGTTGTAATACTGTTGTCATTTGTTCTATAACAAGTTGCCTTATCTTCTTTAGCTGATTAGAAATTTTCATGTATCACTTGACAGTGGTTAGTTAAATAATGAATGGCAGGGGACTGAGCAGTTGAACCAGAAAGCAGCCTTAGTTCCAATTGTAAAAGAAAAGTGCTACTTCTTATATCTTCACCATAGAAATTATTTATATATATTATACGGTAAACAAATCGAGCTCGAGCTAATATGGTAAACAAATCTTCACCCTTGATACCGATTGTATTGAAATTCCTCTTCAGTCGATGATTTTGTTTTGGATTATTTATTATAACTATTTGTTGCAAAAATAATAAAAAAAAATAGGATACGTTATTAAAAAAGTGATTTTTTGGTACCGTAATCAGACCCCATTTTCTAATACGAACAAGTTATCACATTCTGCTTGGACAATCAAATGATCCTCATGAACTGCCAGCATATTGTTTCATGTCTTTGACTAGAACTGGTGATAAGTGTCGATGTTTCAAACATCCATAGAAAGGTTTCCTCTACTACGTTGGGGAGACAATTTGAAGTTTCTTTTCAGTTGGGAATTGCACAAATAATCTTCTTGTATGCGGATTATGACTACATACATCAACACGCATGATCTCACAATTGCAAAAATCTCGTCCACTAAATTATTATTATTATTTTTTTGGAATAAACACAAGCCGTTATTCTTTCATTTCATCTCTTCAAAAACCACCTCATAAGTCAAGAAGTTGACCAAATCCAAGGTACAATGCATTGAGTTGATAATTTTAAGTCAACCCAAAATAGAATAAAAGAACTATTAGCATCACAAACACAAGTCATCTACCACTATTTGTGATCCCCACCAAAAAAAAAAAAAAAAAAAAAAAACAAAAACCATACCATATTTTACCTAATCCACTTCTTTCTTAAAATAAAGTTTGTTGTTGGCTTAATGATCAGTGTCGTTAAACTCTAATGCTCTGTTTGATATAATGAAAAAATAGAAGGATAAAAAATTAGAAGGATAAATAAAATATTATGTTTGGTAAGGATGAAAAAGTGGAGGGATTAACTTTCATTCCTAACTCACCAAAGTCAATCCCTCCAAAATCGGAAGGAATGTGGATAAAAAGTTAATTATTTGTGTTAAGTTGTATTTTATTTTTCTATATATTATTTATACATTAATTTCATATAAAATTACAATAATAAAATATGTATTTATATATATTTTTTTAAAAAATTTAAAAATTAAAATTAAAATTAAAAATTTTAAAAATATTTTTTCAACTTAATTAGAGGTGAAAATTTTTGACTCAACACGAATTTTATGACACGAACTTAAAAATGACCTGACACGCGAATAAAAAATATTAAAGATTGATAATTTAATGACTCAATACAAATCTAACGCGACATGATTCGATTATCACTCATAATCTTAACCAGTACAAAATTTTTTTTAAAAAAATTAGTTATTTTTATTTTTCATTCATCCAACTAAATACACATTAAGGAAAACATATCATTTCTATTTTTTATATTTGAAGAATAAAAAATATATCTCTCATATTTTTTTATTTTTTTTATTTTTTATCATTCCTATTAAACGGAACATAAGATCGCTCCAACGTCATCGTCCCTCTATGTGAAACTCGTTCACATGCATGTGAATTATCTAGCACTGTCCTACCATATTCTTAGTCACAAAAACTTGTTCTTGTCAACATAAAAACTCAATTGGCGGAGATTATGGGTAGCCGCCTTGTGGGGTCCCTCCCCGTAAAACACGATCTCACAATCAATTTTAGGATAATCTTTTCTCTCACCTAAAGTCTACATTGATTTTCTCATTTTGTTTGTATTTGTAGTTAGGCTTTGCCAACGGGTTAGATTTTGATTGAATTTTAGTCGATTTAAATACGAGTTTCATTTTAATTTTGGATCTAAATATGTAATGAATTTTATTTTTCGTAGTTCATATTTGACCTTGTTAAAAGCCACAAACTTGATCCGTAAATCTGATATGATCCGCATAATTTAATTAACACTAAATATTACAGAGTTAAATATGAATTTTATCATACGTTTTTCTTTCATTTATTTATGTGTGTTTATATTTCAGATGATATAATAATTTTTTTTGTTATATATTGGTATTCGAATCCGTGAAGATGTTACAATGAACTTAAATTTGGATTTTTGTAATTGACAATAAGAGATCAATCTATATCTGACTCATTGAATTCAGATCAAAATTCGATTTATTAATAAAACTTATTGATTACTCTCCAAAACACTTATCTAGGATGTGAGCTAACTAAACCAAGTCAAATCCACCTGAATACAAATTATGTAAATTCATCTATATTATTATAACGGAAAGATGTTAAGGGCTACTATTTTGAAATATCAATTTAAATTTTCACTAGAAAATCATAACTTACCTTATACGAATCATTTGTCAGCTATTAAACGATCGTAAGAATTCGTGCAATAATTATATATCTAAAATAACACATGATTGAAATGATTGTTGCCATCGAAGGTGTTGGCACATAGCAATGAAAATAAAAGTTGGTGAAAGGTAAGTTCCATGCGTCACAAAGACACCATGAGGCATGCCTATCAAAATTCCAAAGAACATGTCAATCTTTTCTTCATTATAATACACTAATCATACATATGATGACACCACCAACCAACTCCCCACAAACCATGATTTTTATTACAATGATTTAATACACTAATCATAAATATGCATATGATATGATTTAGTCTTGTCTGTTCTGTTATAATCTTAAATTCTTACCTTAAAAATCATTCTTCTTTTATTGTGGGATTCAACAGATAAGTATGAGGTTTGAAATGTTTCTTCTAGTCAACAAAGCCCCTTTTTCTTTTGGTGGATTTTCAACTCTTCAAAATGTCTACCCACACAATTCGAATCATTACAAATTGCGTGTAGAAGATGGCACCTCTGGCCTTTTATGATCATTTCCCAGAGTTTTCTAGGTCAATGATATTCTCTCTCTCTCTCTCTCTCTCTCTCTCTCTCTCTCTCTCTCTGATGCATGTGAATGGGTTATGACCCATTTCAACGTTAGGTTCTTTCAATTTGTTAAACTAACAATACATTACCTACGTTATGCAGTGAAAATTTTTGTTAAAAAATTTGATAAAATACATAAAATTTTAAGTATATAGCTAAATTAGATATTATCTCATGTTTAGTATACTTCAATTGTTTGTATTATGGATGAAAACAAAAAGATACATATATCAATTTTTAGTACCAAAGATGATATTGTATCAATGATATTGTCGATTTGTATTAATATTAGAGTTGTGGAATTTTTTTTATATATTCTATTAAGTGTAACATGACCATCTAAAAGTTTTACAAATATAGAGAAATTTACGTGATATGCTAGAGGTTAATTTGTTATTTAAGTACAGAGAGATATAATAGTAATTTAAATATTTAAATAAAAAAAGGCACGTTAACCTTTATAGTTTCTTATAAAGGTAAAATACTGAATAAAATTTTTTTCATGTTAAAAATATTTTTATTAATAATGTAGATATAGATGTTAAACCATCTAATATGAATTTAAAAGGAACTTAACTATATTGGAATTGATTTCTTATCATAAGCGATCATGTATGAAAGGAATTAAAAAATTTACTATTGGGGTGGAATTGAATTAGGACTGATTATAAATTTTATTATGTTAGATTCGCATCATTTCAACATTTGTCCAATTTATACTCAACTCATTATTATTGTACATAGGTTTTTTTTTTTTGTTAGAAAAAGAAATTTTCATTAACATAACTATACTTTAGGCCTATCCATTTGCTTACAAAGCTCAACTAGTCTATACCCACTCTAATTTCTTTACAGATATGTGTGCTTAGTTGCAAAGGCATGTCATTGAGCCACTGAGGTCGTAGTGTTTCACCTTGAGCCTTGGTTACAACTATATGCACAACTATGTTAGCTGATCACTTTACACTTTTAAAATCTGATTTTAGAGATCTGATTAGTATAACGTCAAATATTCTTTCAAATTGGTTACATCTCACGTACCATCGTCTCATACCCCTTTGTGATAGAGTCTATTAGAGACCGAGTCAAATTACACTATGACATCCCTCAATCCCTCCTTACGACAATGTACAAATCGTATGTAGTCCGATTTGTATCAACTCCTGATTGATCGATTGAAGTATGAAAAGGTTGATTGGTTGCTTGTGATTTCTCACCCATTTATAAAATAAAATTAGATGATCAATCCGATCACGACGTGAACCATATACATCCAGCAACTTTCGTGTTGGATTGAAAGTTATCTTAAGAACTAGCAACCCCAAACATAATCTATAAAACTAAATCAGTGGGTCTTTGGTTCAATGGTATTCATTGTCTTGCCATAAAACTAAGCATCTTTACAAAGTCAATGAAATAACAACCTTTACACATGCTTTTTCACTTACTATAATAGTAGTTGAGGCAACCCTCCTTTTTAACAAATCAAATTACAATCTTTGAATATGCTTTTAAAAAAATTAATCATCCCAAAAGTTATTTTTAAATACATATAATTTTGGAATTGATTGATTATTATTGGTGGTTATTTGTTAGTTTAATGGCCACCGCTCCCGCTGTTAGAATTTAATATCGCGGATTTGAATCTTATCATCCCCCTCCCTTCTATAATAGTGCCCGATTAAAAAAAAATTATGGGTTAATTACAAAATATCCCTTTAAACTTTGGATAATTTGTAAGTCACTCCTTCGAGTTTGAATTTTAACAAATAACCCTTTTTAAATTTGAATATTTTGAAATTAACTCCAATAGTTATTTTTAAACAACAAAAATTGACAAAAGTTGGGCATGTCAAGTTCTTGTTATCTTTAGTTGGTCGAAAAAAGATAATTACCTTACATCTATTTTTTTTCATATACCAAATATTCATACTCTTCCCTTACCCTTACACCCTTCTATCATCTCCCGTCACCCTTCCTA